CACACACACACACACACACACACACACACACACACACACACACACACACACACACACAAAAGAAACAAAAACAAGGAGCATTCAGACATTTGCCAAAACACTTTACAGCTAAGAAGCTGCTCCATGATGTGTTACTTAGTTTTTAACCAAACATTTATACAATCATGCATTTAAGAAACAAACTTCAAAGTACACATTTTTTGCATCATTCTACTGTTTTTTTTTTGTACATTTTGATTAAAAAGAAAAAAACTGTTAATATGGAACAGCTTATTATAAATAAATGTTAATGACTACAAAAATCAGAATACTGTCGCTTTAACAGATTATTCAGCGTGATACACAGAGTTATTTTTTTCTCTCTCTCCATCACAGCAGATGAGTCACTGCCTCGTCTGCACCGGCTTCACACAACTCTGAACAGGATCACATGGGTGCAGAAAACGATGGACACTCACAAGTGACATTCGGCTCCAATGTAACATCCGGTGATTAGATTTTTATTTATTTATTTTAATGTAGCTGCTGCCAATGTGTAATGTTTAAAGCAACTTGCTATGACTTGTACTAAAATTTTCCCATCTATAATCTCATTCATGCAGAATCATTGGGATTTAACAGGTTAGATTGAGCACTCAAAAAAACAGATTTACTTTAACAAGTTACATCAACAATTTTTCCACTCAGMTGAGCTGAGTWAATGTAACGCAACTTTCACGTTTTACTTTTAAAGTAAATGTGAAAGTTGCTTTATATTTACTCAACTCAGTTCACACAGAGAAACACACACATTCATACAGAGAAACACACACATTCATACAGAGCAACACAAAACTAATCAGATCCTAATCAGTGCTTTTAAATCATATTTATACACTGATGGGGGACATCAGAGGCAGTGAGGGWTCAGTGTCTTGCCCATGGAAACATTCACACATGACTGATGGAAACGAACCCCCGACTCTCGTTGGAGGACTGCATTAACCACTGATCTGCAGCAGAAAACTGTCCCAACAATCCTGAAGGTTGGAGAAACTCAGATGCTGCTTTGTTCAGTTRACTTGTTCTGTTCTGAGTGAGAACAAAAGAAAATCAGCTGTTTCTGTCAGCCACCCCCCACCCTCCCCTCTTTTTTGTACGTTTGTTTTGTCTGCCACCCACCCACTCCACAGACACATGCGTGAGTCCTGCTGACTAAAGSGCCCACCCCGACTCTCTGACCTTTTCAACCCCACCCACCCCATAAACAGCCGGCCTCTCTGCACCTGCCATCTTTTAACTCCCGTTCTGTCTGCAGCACCTGTACCAGTTCTGCGCCTCCAGCGCTTTTTGTTGCCCCTCTATTAGTAGTTCAGGGAGGAGAGAAGCTCACTGACACACCACCATTAACCCCTCATGTCCCTCCAAAAAAAAATTCCTGCAGACCATAAAGAAGAAGTTTGAAAGACTTTTATCTTTCTTTACCTGCCTCTTGTAGAACTGGTTCCTCCTTCTGACACGACTTTATGTCGGCCAGATTTGTTAGTTTTTATGACTAATTGTTTCCTCCTGTCTCCCTGCCCCTCTTTCATCCTTGATATTCAGCGTGTTTCCCTTAAATCTACTTCCCTTTTTCTTCTCTTCCCAGTCATAACCTCCCTGACTTTTTTTCCTCTTCTCCATCCCTCCCTCCAGCTCTCCTCCTCCTCCTCCTCCTCCTCCTCATCCCTGCCTTATTTAGATTCCGACAGCTTCCCAAATGTTGGCCCAATAAAAGTTTTTTTTAAGCTCGGCCAGTCCAAAGGGGGTCAACTGGTCCATGTGGGATCTCATTTGCCACTGAAGCGTTTTACACAACGAGCCTAAACACACTAAAATGTCTGTTAAAACGTTTAAACCAAGGGACTGAAAGGAGATAAGCTCACTTTATCACACACAGTGTACCAAAGTGATAAAAAGTGACATTCACTGTACATGTAAGGAGAATTTTTTTATGGTTTTGGAAAGCCTCTGTTTCCAGTTCCAGCATAGAGAAATCATGCTGAGGAGCGTGACTCATCAGCGACACAGGATGGGAATCGTAAAAACAGCAATGAAGGGAGAGATGCGCTAAAAAAAACGTTAAAGAAACGCTCCTTGTTTAGGATTATGCAAGTGCATAAATGTTCTTATGAGCTGAAACAACGTTATCAAAGAAAATGATGCAGGGGGTGGAGGGTGGAGGAAAACGGACAGGGAGGGAACGCAGAATAAATAATAAAGAAGTGACGAGATAAGCTAATGAGGAGATACTGAGTGAGTTTTGAAGGCGAAKAAACTAAATCTTTAAATGGTAGTTAACCACACTGAATGAGCTGACAGCAATTATAGGAACTGTAGGAAGGATTGGCCAGCTGCAGCAGACTCACAAGAAGGTTTTRTCTGCCTTAGAATAAAAACATCATGGCTGAAAAGGAGTTTGATCTGCAATGTGTGACGTTTCAAGAGGAAAAGGCTCACTGAAAAGTTACGAGCAACTAATATCTTACCTGTTGAAGACAGCTCTCCGAACAACCTCGGTTTGCAGAAATGAAGTTTAGGTGTCAGGATTCCTGTTTCTGTTCACTGAGCMCCTCAATGTTGAGACTCTGGGGCGGAGCCAGCTGATTTCTGATCAACATATTTATTTAAATTTATTCAATGGRCTGTTGAATATGATGGAGTATTAGGGCCAGACTACAAGAATCTGTTTTTAATTACAAAAACAAATTCATAATATGACAGGGATAAAATCAGAACACTCTGAGAAAAAAGTCGTACAGAATAATGTCAATACCAAAGTCATAATATTACAAGAATAAAATCGTACAAAATAAAGTCATATCACAAGAAGAAAACCATAACAAAGTCAAAACTGTAAGTATAAAGTCATAGCATTACTAGAATAAAGTTTTCTGAAAACAAAGTTATGATAATAAAGTCACAGAATAAATTCAGACCAACACAAAACAAAGTTGTAATATTACCAGAGTAAAGTGATAATGTTACATGAAAAGCAGTCTCACTACATTAAAATGAGGAATGTTGAGCATCTTTTGAAGCCATACTTTGGTATCGGTTCTATATTAAAAGGAAACACGTAATCTTTAACATATTAGCATCAAATAATTATGAGAAGCAGGACTTTGAACCGACTGTGCAAATGTCTGGATCTATTTTGAAGATGTTAATGACTGCTTGTGACTGCCGTAAAGCAATGGAATCTAACTTTCAACATGGAACAAGTCATTCTTTATCAGCTGTTCTTGGTGACTTTATGAAAATAGCTGCTGATGTGACGACACCTGCAGCTGCTGCGACTCTTAGCTTCTTTCAGTCTTTAAAATCCAGTTTGAGTTGCTCTCCTGTTTCTGCTCCTTGCTCAGCCGCTTTGCCTCCATCCTGGATAAGTTGTCTGTGTGAGCTTTTTCTGTTTTTTTTTTTTTCTTACATCATTCTCTCCTCGACCTAGAACCTGGACAGCACCTTGGGCATTCACATTCTGCTGTGCACCTGTAAATGTCCGTACAAGTGATCACTTTGTGCAGACTCAAGTGTGTGTGTGGTGTGACATTGGCCCACTTTGTATCCTGTTTTCCCTGCGAGAAAAACACACAAACTCCACATTATATATWTTTTAAAACTCTTCCCCTTGTCTCCTACAGGCCTCACTGTCTTCGCCTCTGTCCAAATATCTCAGACTTGGAGCCTCTCGGGGTCTTCCAGATCCTAACCAGACTGGTTTGCTGAAGTCAAAAGCTTTATTTCACATGTTACACATGTAAGAACAGGTTGGACTGTTATAAGCAGACTTATGTTGTTCCTAAATTAAATGTAGTCTTTAAAAAAACTGTAATTTGGGAAATGTGTTAAAGAGTTAGACTGTAAGATWAATATCACTTTAATGACTGCCTGATAAGATGATGTTACAGCCTGCGAGCAGCTAACTCAGCTTCAAATAAAGGAAAACGAGGACAATAAATCACTGCGAGAAAGTTACAAACAAGAGATTTGAACATCTGTAACACTCATCAGTTGATGTGCAGCAAGTGTAAAAAGTAAAAATGTAAACGTATTAAAAAAGCATTGGACTTCTGCAGAAGTACACAAATTACAGAGCTGACCCCTTCATTCAACCAAGATAGCACCTGTGGGGTGGAAGAGAGAAAGAAAATAAGAAGCAGGGGTGTGGAGGGTGCTGCATACCCTCTGGATGAATACCAATTTTGTATATTCAAATTAAATTTAAATTAAAATTAAGAAAAAAAAAAGAATAAAAACAGCTTTCATGAGTTCTGACTTTGTTTGTGTATGATATTCATGAGTTTTGTTTATGGGGTCTATAAATGAGAGCTGTTGTTGTTTTCAAAAACAGACAGATGAGCTTTAAATCAGGGCTGCAATTTTATAGATCTTGTCTATCCACAGTAACACTATACTGTACTTCTTAATGCACATATTTAAATAAAACTATATTTCACCTGCATATATTTGGTATTATATTCTTCATATGCATCATGATTTCAGACATTTTTAAAGAAGTGTCACCTGATATAGAAGGAAAGTGAGACAGCTAAGCATAGCTGTTACAGTTTTTTTTAATGTATTTGTGTTATGTTTTCATTATTTGTAATATGCTATAATATGTTTTTTTATCTAAGCTTTTAGTGAGTGGGGATTATCTTCTTGGCAGCAAGTCTGGTACAATTCACAAACATTTACTCTGTCTTTTATAAATATACCTAATATTTTTTGCGTCTATGCAACCTCATATTAGTRTACTCACACCCCCATGCTTTGATCTGGTTTTCCTTCTAAGTCTGTTTTGGTCCTCATCTGAGTTGAACGAGTTTGCTTTCAACCCGTTTGAACCAATATATTTTTAATTTCTTTTCAGGTGTTTGTTTTTTTTTTCTTTTTGATTATTTTCTTTCATTTAACCCCCATTCCCGAAGCTCCAACCAGACGTTGTTTTAGAGCTCATTCGTGCAACAGTCAACATGTTGCAAATCATATTTATGCAAATGTGAATCAGTTACTGAGTGCACAATGATTACCTGACTGGTGAAAGAGGGGAAAAAAAGGCATTTCTGAGAAAGCGCTACCGTCGTCCTCCTTTTCCAAAAGTCTTTTCTGCCCGCAGCGTTGTAACCTCTGCTGTCCTTCACTGAGGACAAGACAAGCAGACATGAGAGGAAGAAAAGAGGGAACAAGGTGACCCAAGAGTAAAACTGCGGGTCAAAATGAGGAAGCTACAAGATAAAAAAAAAAAGAAATACCAAATAATGGGGTTAGACCACAAACAAATAGGGGAAAGGAGATGACTTGAGCCTTTAAGGTCAACCTGGTTCACCAAGCTCCTTGTGGTTTGAGTAAGAAACGTTGACACTCTTGGGCACCTGCACRTGGCTCCTGTTGGGTCGTCATGCCAAAGACGAAGCACTCCACTCGATGTTTCAGCAATAAGCCACTTGGAGGTCTTCTCCAGTGGTTCTCGGATGTTTATTCTTTTTCCTGGACAACAGAAGACGGGAGGGCGGAGGAGGCTAACCTCCCTTGCAGGACTCGTTTGCCTGTAAAATATGAAAACAAAATAGAATGAATCCACATCGAATTTTGATGAAAATTTCTGGGAAATTCTATCCCTTACAGAGCTACCGCTGACAGAAATTTGAGCCAAATCGCATGGTTTATTAGTTGGATTTTGGTTTTCTAAGATGAATTCCCCTCTCCTGTCATCAAATAAACCAAACTAAAAACACGTGAAAGTTTCGGGAAATGTTTAACGCATCACAGAGACCAGCTTAAAGTTTGGAACATGTCTGAGCAGACCCGGRAAACTCCGCTGTCTGTCTGTTAGCAACTGTTAGCAATGTCTGAGGCCACCACRGGCTACAGCCTGAATCAGCATGTCACAAATTGTTTACCCAGGGCAAAGTTGGACAGAGAGCTGGGCTGACTGCTTCGGTCCCGAGTCCCGGGGAGGAGCTTAAGCCACTTCGCCTGAATGCATACAGGCATACAAAGGATTAATTGCCTTCCAACTTACTATTAGGTCTGTGTACATTCAGTATGACTTTTTAAAATTWGTCACTGCACTTTTTATAAATGTGTGTGTAACTGTGGGCAGCTAATTAGTTTGAAACTTCACAGTAAGCCTAAATTACGGTGGCCCAGAGGTGTCATGACTTTTGTATTTGTGTTGYGGCTTTTKTATTTGTGTTGTGRMWTTTKTAKTTGTGTTGTGGCTTTTGTATTTGTGTTGCGGTTTTTGTATTTGACATGACACCTCTGGGCCACCGTAGATACCCCCTCCTAGGCATTAAAAAAGCAACCATCAGCCTTAACAAGTTTTCTGGRGGGAACCCTGTGGATGTTATTTTTTAAATACATTATAATTTGCACCCTTTAGCACYGTTAAGGGTTGTTTTACATATTTATCACAATTTTAATCTTCTATATTGATTTCCTGCTATGTGGATTAGAATAACTGAGCTTATCTCTGTGTTAGCTAGGCTACGTTTTGTCTACATAAAAGKGCAGTCTACATGCCCACAGTGTGAAACGTAAAGTAGGTGCAGAAAAAATGATTCGAGTTATGTGTCACACAATCACAATACTTATTTTTATTTATTGCCTTTTTACTTTATGTTTGCAGGAATGCATGTAAACTTTAAACAATAAAAAAGGTAGCATTTTTGGTTAAGCGTATTCTTTCTAAGTTGATAACGTGGACTTTCTTGCCCCCTAGTGGCATGACAGGTACATTACATAATTTTGATAGAACATTAGAACAAAAACAAAAACCATAATCTTAAAGCTGGCTGAAGTATAAGTTTCAAAGTTTCACCCCCTCAGTGTTAAAGTACCGGTTGTGTTGAAGAGGTTGCTTTTATATATAATTCTTAGTTCCCACTTGTATTCTTAAAGGTTCATTCTTTTTACTGTTGCGTTTTGGCAGAATTATATGTGGTTCTGATTGGCAGCTRCAATTGGCAGCTGTCTCCGAGCCGACATTCTGCAGCCGAGGAAGACTGGGGAGAAATAAAAACTGAACTTYTCTATAACTGTGCCAACCTGAGCTGTACAATTGTATCTTTACGTTAAACTGATACTTTCCAATCAAATCAGTGTATTTTTATTATTAGAATAAATAGAAAAAAAGCAAGCAGGCAACTACATGTAGGCCTAATAGAGAAAATACCAGTTTCCTAATTAGAAAAAGTAGAGGTCATTTGTGTGTGTGTGTGTGTGTGTGTGTGTGTGTGTGTGTGTGTGTGTGTGTGTGTGTGTGTGTGTGTGTGTGAGTCTTACACATTTTTATCTGAAAAGTATAAAATTTGCTTGTGTTTGGTACTCTTACGTTTATCAGCAATAAAACAATTTAAAATAATGCGAATATAATCTTATTATTTGTAGCTACAAAGTGTGTAGGAAGACGTGGGGCCCACTCTAAGCCCGCCTTGATTTTTGCAATAAAAATGTCAAAATACCTAATAAAACATAATTTACAGGTTAAACAGGTTAGATAAAAAATGCCATCAGTTTTGTTTTGGGGGGATTGAAGAATAAATGCTTATCTGTTTGTGAGCAGAGGACAAAGTAAAACAGGCAAAGAGGGGTAGTGGTGGTGGGGTGAGGTGGACCATGCAACATCATTATTATGGCTACTTCATTAGCTTGAGTGCTTCTCTGACAACATAATGGCCGGCACCCAGGCTGCGGGGTCACTATCATTAMGAGCGCACGCCGCCAACTGCTGATGTCAATCAAGGAAAATGGAAATCAAAGCCCTGCTTCATAAACCAAATCCACAGAACACACTCAGGGCTTGGGCAGGGCAACTCTGTGGGATCTGAGAGGGGGGTGGGGTTTGGAGCTAATCAATAATGAACAAAGTGAGGACAGGAAATGAAAGAAAGAACTCGAACATGAGAGCGAACATGGGTGGGACTGTGGGGGAAAACCTCGACTGGATGAGATGAGGAGAGACAGAATCTGATGGAAGAGCTGTCTTTGTGAGGGTTGTTTTCCAAGATGCAGGGTTAAGTAAAAAAGTATTACTGAAAGCATCTTAGTGGTAAAATGATCTGCTATTTTAGGAATCAATGAACGTTTGCATTTGTTGGTTCTGAATGCCTACAAACCATGACATAATCTGCTCTATCCTGAGGTGTCTGTTTAATGTTTCCGACCATCCACAGGATAAAGAAGCTGTCTTTTTTTCATTTAGATCAGGCGTGTCAGATTCATTTTCATCAAGGGCCACATGAAAATTATGGTGGCCCTCAGTTGGCCAKTTGTAATGAAATATTAACTTCGACTAAACACGAAACATCGTATTCCTCATCTCGTTGCTACGGCTGAGCAACAAACAATAACTGAGTTCTACGTGAAAATAAGAGCACAGAAACAGCATTTTAACATGTCCTCTTATAAATACTGAAAAGTACCACACATGTAACTAAATAAATTATAAAGACATTCAAATTAAAAGTAAAAGGAAGAGGGTTTTATCCACTGTTGAGGTGTGGTGAATTCGGAACGGGGATAGTCAGGAGTTGCTTCCTCTTACGACACAGAATTTCCATTGGAGGGGGCGTTCCAACTTGTAAGTGGGAAATTCCCACTTCCCAGAACAACTGAGCCTCAGCAGAATTAGCTGGTGAAAATGCAGCTACATGAAGATTTTACACATCAAATCTCACCAGCTTCTTTTGAACCCATCACCTACGGATGCCGTCATTTGCTGGTAAACTACTCAACATGCATTATGGGAGATGCAGTTTATGGTAAATGTTGACTTTATTAATTAATTTTTTAATAACATTTATTGATTTCGTTTTAAAAAAACAAAACAAATGCTGTAAGAAATACAAATAACAAATAAAAAGAAATGCATCAGAAAGAAGAAAAATCTTATATCTGCCCCTATTTTCAACAAAAATGAATTCAAACAACAATAGTCTTTAAATAACAAAAAAGCAGCATACACTTATTTTAAGATATTAAAACGGCTTTGACGCTGTCGTGGGTCACATAAAATGCAGCAGTGGACCACATTTGGCCCACAGGCCTTGGATTTGACATGTGATTTAAGCTAATTTTTCCTCAACCATCTTTACCAGACTTTTTTATGTTAAAAATTAGCCAGCCTCTATTTCTTAATGAGAGTGGAACAGCTTCTCAGCAGAATCCACAAGCAGAAGTCAACACAAATCAATTTGTTGCCCACCACAACGAAAAGGTGAGCAATCCTTTAATTGCCTGTATGCGTGTTTTAGTTTCTCTGTCAGCAAAATATCTCATGAACCAGTAAMTAACAGAAGTTAATTATCGGGTAAACTGTAAATGCAAATAATTAGGTTTCATTTTAGGATTGCTGCCACATACAGAAAAAAAAACTGGTTTAACTCAGACAATACTACAGATAATGAGTGACAATTTTGTGTGGTTTTAGTTGAAAGTCCTGTCCATCACATGGTTAAAGTGCTAATAGAGCACACATCTTTATGTGAAACTTTTGCAAGCAAGACAGAAGACAACAYTGGTTTGTTCAGCATCATCTTCATCCAAAAGACTGTTCCAACCACCTGCAGTTTTACAGTCATTTTGATTTTGTGGTTCRACTCTATTCTGGGACCTCCCTGGTCTTCACACGTTATTGTACAATGCCCGCAGAAGCAAAARGCGGTGGCAAGACMMMCCAGAAAGCAGAAGAGATCAGCGTCAAGGACAGACATGACATTGATTAGACACAGTTTGACATGAAGGATTCTAGGTGAGCTGCGAGCAGTTTAAAGAGGCGGGTGCAGAGGTAAGGAAAGGTTAGAAAAATTTAATAGGGTTTATGTGGGAGGTTTGCTAACTGAATGTGTGAAAAAGTAGCAGCTAAGATACATTTCCACATAAACTAAAGCTGTATTATGTCTACCCATTCATTCTCTTTACCTGAAGTCACTGTGTGAGAGACAGGATTCACCCTGGACAGGTYGCAGATTCATCACAGGGCTACGTAGAGACAAACAAGAGAAACAACCATTCACACTCACACCGAGTGACAATTTATAATAACCAATGAACCTAACATGTTTTTGGTCTRTGGGAGGAAACTGGAGTACCTSGAAAAAAAWAWGCRTGCAAAGGGAGAATGCATAAACTCCACCCAGAACGGTCCCAGGCCGACATCCAATCATGTGACCTTGTTGCTGAGAGGAAACGCCTCTATAAACTGCATAATCGAGCTGCTCCTGTACTTATAAAAAAACAAGAAAATGTAACTATGCAGCTTTT